GTGTCAGCTGCAGTTTTGCCACCAGCATCATGCTATCTTCATAGTATGACTGGATTGGGAAGCGTTTGAAATACAGTGGGAAGTCTGCAGATCCCGATTTTCCCTTATGTTTCAGCCAGTGGGTGAGAATACCTTTGCTCACCAAAGACTGGACGTATACGAATTCTAGGTCAACTGAAGGAGTAAACAGATGCTAATTTAGACAATGATTACAAATAACTGAGTTTCCGAGACCTAATGCTGGTTATGGGTCAGTTTTATTCGTTGTACAGATCTTGTAGAATATCAGCATTCAGGTATTTTTGTTGTTGTTGTTGAAAACAATATTATTCCTTTCTGTCTTTTTCTAAATGATAATTAACTTCAAAGGTTTCGAAATACTACTTTAGTCATTTAAAATTGGAATGAAACAGTGTTTCCCAAACTGGGCGCTGGCATCTCCTGGGGAGGGGTGGTGGTATGGTCTAGGGCTTTAACACCCTCAATTAGTTGGGGGGGGGGGGGGGCTGTGACGTTTGGGTAGAGAGAGAGAGAGAGGAACAAATTGAGCCAACATATATTGATAAGCCGTCCGAACGTTCCTCAGTGTAGAGTTAACAAATTAAAATTGAAGCTAGTGCTTAATTTAAATTTTAAAAAAAAGCCAAGACATTATGTTTTACCCAATAAGATTCATCTTTTGTCATTAACATTATTAAATCTCTTATTCCTTATTTTGTTTTAATATTTCTCTGCTTCGACACTAAGTGGAGGGATGGCCTGAACTCAAACTTCTTCAAGCAGCTGTTACTCACAACATGAACTTTTGAATATGAAACTTTTTGTAATAACAATCTAACATTTAAAACAGATTCTCTCTTAGAATGAAATGATAGTTCCGCTGTTCAATCAGTCTCTTAGAGCAACGAACGAGAGCCATTTTTCCTCATTGTTTACATCTGCCCTTACTAAATCTTGTCCCAAGCGAGTCTCCAAAGGCCCTCCTATGAACACGAAAAGTCAATGGAAAAAGTAGAGACTGGTCTTTAGAGATGACAGTTTTGAACTGCCTTACAGATAGGCATAGATGACAGTGTTGTACTGTCTTACAAACAGGCATAACAATTGTATTAAATTATTATCCGTAATAAAATGCATCCTCCATAGAGCTCAAAAACTAAGGCAATATTGTAGAGGCCAGGTGTTGAACATGTCCAGCTTACTTTGTTTACTCCAGAGAAAGAGTAACACCAAAACGTTTGGAATAAAGGATGATGCAGAAGCTGCCAGAACAGCGGAGCAGTGTTTCGTCTGTCTGCCTGTCAGAACTTCCTTAACAGACCAGCTGCCAACTATGGCTATAGGTCGTTTCTGCCCTGCCATAACATTGTTTCAACAATTACCGTTTCTCGCCGCTAGCATTAGTTAGTCTAGTCTCCTACCCAGTGCATTTCTGAATCCCAAGTTGTTGGGACAGTGTGTTATGTCAGGTTTGGTTACACCATTCAACATTATGTGATAATACAGACGACAGCACAGACTACAGTTCCGCGGTAGCTCAATTAACACACTGAAACAGACTATATTCTCTAATCTACACAAAGCAATAATAATTCATGTGAGTGCCGGGACCTCATGATAGGGAAACCAAGAAAGAATAGACCTACTGTCCCTGCAACAAGCATGTTGTAACAGTCGACTAGCTAGGGACTTTCTTCCAAGTCAGAGTGCATGTGCATAAGAGGCAAGGAGCCAACAATCTGAGTACAAATAAGTCAGATCTTTTGGAGAAGAGCATGCAATACTCTGCTTCTGAAACAAGACTAAGTACAGAGGTGGACGAACAACCAGAACTTTCCGCCGGAGTTTACAGCTGGTGAAAGTAAAGAAAAATGTGAATAATCAACTAATACCTTAGATATAGCGCCCCCCCCCCCCACCTACCATTTCGCGGGCATGCCCTCTGTTAGTGTGTGTGTTTGTATGTGGTCTATGTGTGTGTGTGTGTGTGCGCGTTACACTAGACAGCAGACTTACCTCAAAAACAAAACTAAAAAGATAAAGAAAACCAAATCAAACTGTATACAGATGCTCGCTGTCATCAAAATAAAACATGAGAAAACCCTAGACATATTTTTCGTTTAAGAGTAATAAAGATGTTTCGAAAGAAACCAACTCACGAAGAGAACCGATTGTTTACATCAGAAATAGACAATCTACATCTTTAGTCCTGGGATGACAAGGAGAAAACTGCAGTGGATCATGATAATAGCAACACTGGAGGGAAGGAGAGGCAGAGGGAGACCGAAAGAAAAGATACTGGAGAGTCTGACCTAATGACATGGATAATTATCTGTCAGAGTTGACTGGACGTACAAGAGACATAAGGTTGTGGACAGACATGACTACCAATACCACACGGTATAGACTTTAAGAAGAAAAAGAAGATTATGACTGTTACTAGGACGGATTAAAATGTTTTCACAGTTTTAAAGGTTCCGATTTTGGCATAACCTTTGTTACTAGACTAAAAACACATCTGTTAGAAGTTCCCTTGCAGAAGCATTCAAATCTATAAATCAAAGCTGCTACGTGAATTCACAAGATACTTTTTATTTAAGGGTGTCACATGTATGTATTGATTTAACTGTGTTGACCGTAAAATACCCGCCTCATGTCCACAACAAAATATTACTAGTTAAGGTCTCATCCCAGTTAGTCAAAATGTGCAGCATTTAATCACGACCTTGTTACATATACATATACTGTGAAAAGTGTACTGTTCCAGGACTGGTTTCTAGTATCTCTTTGCTTTCTTCACAGGTAGAGGTGAAGGAGTGACCAGCAACAGTTCCTGTTGAATTGGTCGGTATATGGGCACCGGGTCGGAGCAAGATACTCTACGCTAGAATAACTCTAACTGCTGAAAAAATGTTAAAATTTAGAATCAAATTAACACAAAAGCGAATTTATGTTTATAGCAGTAAATGATTTCAAAATAAATGTACAAGTTGTACATCATTATTAGTTCACTCTGATATACTTACTAGTGTTGCGAAAAAAATGGCAAGTTCCACTGCCTTCCTTTTGAGGCACATTATGATCTAATATGTACTGTGGCCTAATGGCTGTATTGCTTTCTGTTTTAACTGTTACGAAGCAAGCTTGTGAAAAATTCTATGAGGAAAAAAACCACTTGGCATTCACTGTGTACACATTTTGTAGCATTGGCCGACATCACAGCTTTCTTGCGCAAGTACACAAACCATTGTGCTAACCCAACTCTACAACCTAGCATAATGTTATTCTGACTTTGTACTCAGCGAAATATTCTGAACTTGATTGTGATGTGCACTCAGACCAGGTCATAGTGTTCCGGGCGACTGTGTGTACACGGTGTGCTATTATCAGAAACAAACAAAAAAGCGTGTTGTGAATTTAAGTATTGTAAACTGTATAAATAATAAGAAGAAATAGTTGTGTTTATTAGGTTTCCGTTAATGAAGTAATTTGACTACTCACGTAGGTCAGATCTAGGTGTGGATGTGCGCTCAAAACTGTAAACCTCATCTGTATTCCAAATCTGACTTGCTCGTCGATACGGATGAATAATAACTGTCAATACTTTGGGAAGCAGCACCACAGATTCACTCATCTTAAATTCTATGATATATGACATTTCCGATGAATGCTCATAAAAAAACGTTTCTGCGTCAGCTAGTCTTCGGAATCCCATTATTTGAGCTGTTGAAAAGGTTTTTAAAATGCGAACAGTTACAATCTTATATCTCAGACACAAAATAAAGACTAAAGTATTAGCTTTATTCTGCCAATTTATTTGATGTTTTTACTTATTAGCAGCTTTAAAAAAAAAATCAAAATCTCCCTTTTCTTTCTTTTTAACACATCACCATAACCTACAATTTGTATAATTGTATCGACAGGGAAATGTATGTTTTAAAATGTTTGTAGAATTATACAAATATTGCTGATAAAACACAGGATAAACTATATTAACTCTTTAAAGACTCTTCGCCAGTATACTTGTGAATGAATTTATCCCTAATGAACTAATCGCCAGTATACTGGCCTATCAAAGAGACACTCTAATTCTTGTTCCGTTTGTGAGGAAAACGAACTTTTATGAACAAGTTTTTGAACAACTAGGATTAACAACAGGAAGTCCTTTCGTTTGCAAAGTTCGTCGTGGTCAGTGCATTTTTTCTAATTTAAATTTTTTTTAAACATTTAATATCATAAGGGAAAAGGTCCAGAACTGTTCATACTGCTCTGTGGTTAATGAATCTCTGCCAAATGGTCTTGATATTATGATTGATATTTAGGTGACAAACCAATTGGCAATAATTTAGTTTAGGATATAAAAACTGAACTAAATATTTCAATCGGATCAGCTTTTTTCCCAATTTTCGGTTGTTGTGAAAAATGATCATTACATCCAAATTATTTTAATTAATTGTTTAAAAAAATAAAACTAGCTGATACATAATTTAACAGAGAAGGCAAAGTAAAAAAAAAAAAAAGTAAATTAAGCACACAATTTGTTATGTCAATAATCTTCATATTTTTCTAACATTCTTAAATGTCGTATGATTTTAATAATATTTTGTTTTAATACTGACATTTAAATAGTTTATATCTATTTCGCACTCATGTATCTTTAATTTGATATATTTTATGTCCCGATACAGCCAATACTTTTTCCTTCAGGAAGGTTTTAGCTTTGTCGTGTTGCAGCAGTACAAAAATTCAGCTCAGAATAATGCTGTCCAAACCCCATACAATAATTTGGTCCTGAAAGAGTTAAATACATGGGAAAATTTAAAATGATGATTGACAAATAGCCTATCAACAATTGGAATATAACAAATATGGAAAGTAAATTCAGTCATGAGACACATGCACTTTAACTCTTGCCATTCATATTACGACACAAATCAAGCTAAGTCATGATCTTTCTTCTAGGAATAAGATAATACAAAATAAAGATAGGTCTTGCATAATTAGCGACAATTTGTTTTTTCTAAATATGTGGAGAATGAACACTTTTCCTGTAGCAACAAACTGACACTAGATAAGAAACACTGATGAGTTCGAGATATTTGCTTTCGAGAACAATGAAACTGATGCCGCAAAGGGGTGGACCACATCGTAAAAGACACCATTAGTATGAGAAAAAAAATAGAAAAAAAAGAAAAAGAGGGGAAAAAAAGAAGAAGAAGAAGAAGAAGAAGAAGAAGAAGAAGAAAAAGAAGAAGAAGAAGAAGAAGAAGAAGAAGAAGAAGAAGAAGAAGAAGAAGAAGAAGAAGAAGAAGAAGAAGAAGAAGAAGAAGAAGAAGAAGAAGAAGAAGAAGAAGAAGAAGAAGAAGAAGAAGAAGAAGAAGAAGAAAAAGAAGAAGAAGAAGAAGAAGAAAAAGAAGAAGAAGAAGAAGAGGGAATCTACATAATAAGCTACAGACAAGAACAATTGCAACTTAGATGATATCCTAACAAAAGCACCCCGCATTAAAGAAGATCAGAAATTACAGCATCTAGTAGAAAATCAGGTTGGGGTGTAAGAAGTACAGGGCATTATAAAACATGTAATATTTAGGCTATTTAAACAGACTGACAACAAACTCACCAATAGTGAGAATTATGTACACACAAAGTGGAAACTAAAAAAGATGCTGACATTGCAAACAACGGGCAAGGAAATACTATGCCCACAAGAACACCCATACATGAACATATGAGGCAACTCCCATACATGAACACACGAGGCAACCCCGATACATGAATACACTAGGCAACCCCTATGCATAAACACACAAGACAACCCCCATATACAAACACACGAGGCAACCCCCATACATGAACACATGAGGCAACCCCCATACATGAACACAAGAGGCAAACCCTATACATGAACACACGAGGCAACCCTGATACATGAACACATGAGGCAACCCCCATACATGAATACACGAGGCAACACCCATACATAAACACACGAGGCACCCCGCTGGCGTTTTACACGGCAAACAGTAAGAAGAGCATAATCATTTGCGATGAGTGGAGTATCAGCCACCGTGGAACTCACAATGAGTATTGTTTGTGACAGTAAGACTATCTTTGTCAAATAAACGTGCGTAATGATTTGATTTGATTCAAGAACCGACATCACAGCACTCGCGGCATTCCCATAAGCGCTCTGTCCCCATCTTCAGCAGCCAGCGAAGAGTTCTGATACTAATGGTGCCAGTAGCTTTCTGATTAAACGTCCGTCTTGCCTTTCCTCTGAGCCTTGAGCTTCTGCCAGAACCTCTCGTCACTCCCCCCTGCATCAATCTCACCAGACTGTGGTGATCCATCTGCTCCTCCGCATTGTACACGCTCTTCCACAAGGCACTAACCACGTCTGCCCTATCATATAGCAGTATTCCACCAAGTTGTGCAGAGCCAGCCAGTCTGTCCGCATGTTCATTTCCCAACACACCGGCGTCACCCGGTGAACAAATCCAGACAATACTCCTCACTCGTGTCCTCGGCAGCGAGGCATGCCATTCTACACGAAGCATACCTGTTCTGATCTTCCCCAGCATGCTTTCTGAATCAGTTACAATTACAATGTGTTTGTGTGTCGTGTTCTCTAGCCAGCGCAAAGCTGCAGTGACCGCCTCCACCTCCATTCTTAAGTTGGATGTTGTGGTATCATATGCTAGGCTCTCCTGCACCAAACGTCGACCATTAACTTTTGCTAAAAAGCCCCTAGCACTTCTTTTGCCTCTTACGTGCGTAATGAGGTAAGCAATAACATTACTAGAGGCTGTGATCGTGATGGCGGAGTGGTACTATTAGTGATAGAAGTAGCCGTAGCAGTATTGGTGGTTGTGACAATAGTAATAGTATTAGAAGTAGCATTAACCACATACTTAGTAAGTAGTAAAATTGTGCTGACTTCCAGCTCTTAACTATTTATAGTATTAACAAACTCACTCTTTTCAGTTGTTCTTGTAATGTTTCCTGGAAGTAGGCCTATCTTTTGCAAGTTACTGTCACGCGCGCTGGCAACCCATTGAATAACTTCCTCTGAAGCTGTACTGTTAGGAACAAAACCTATTATGGATGTTTTATAAAGTGGACCCACTGATGCCTTCGAAAACTTTTCATCCGGGAAAAACGTTTTCGTGGAATATATTTTGAATAATAAAATAACTACTGCGAAAACTGATGGCAGTAAACACTCTACAAATGTCCACAAAAATCTTCGTTTATGAATTGTATAGTTTTTCCATAAAAGCAGATATAACTGAATCAAAAACATTTTTGGATTTTGTTATTGCAATATAACTAGTACTAGTAACCGTCTTGAATAACTATTAACTATTAATACATTTTCTCACCATTTTAACATAGAATCAACTTTCAAACATTTATTTTTACAAACATCAAATAAAAATTTTTTCTATTATGTCAAAGTTTCTTTTCAACATTTGCAAATATAGGAGGAATTCGTCCTAACGGTATCACTAGCACACAACATATTCTAAATTGCGTAGAAACATAGAATTGTCACCGGATATGACTAGCCAGATTTTTTGGGGACTGAAAGCGTAATTAGTTTAATGAGTCGCAATAATAGCTTACTTAATATTATAATGGTGTAACTTCATTTTCATCCCACACTTTAGAGGGAAACTTGAATATGTATGTGTGTGTGTGTATGTATATATATATATATATATATATATATATATATATATATATATATATATATATATAGTTATATATATATATATATATATATATATATATATATATATATATATATATATATGTATGTATGGTTATGTGTGCGTGTATATATACATGCACACACACACATAAACTCTTTGAAATTTCATTGTGAGCTTGTTGACATGCCCATTCAGTCTCAGAAGTTGAATGTAGAGACCGACAAGTTTTCTATTCCTTGCATATGATGAACACTGCTGCGGTATATATTTAGTCGTCACTATACCAGTACCAGAGTTGCATACATCATCGCCTGACTTTATGTTAATTAAAAACTAGGTTTTTGGCCAGTTATTTCTAAGGCCTAAAAAGACACCCCACCCCCTCCCCCCCCACCCCCCCCCCTTTTTTTCCCCAGTGGGATTGAATACTCATTACTCATTTCAATCTAAAAACATTTCTTATAAAAATCATTGCCTCATCATACTTTCTGACTTTTTTTTTTCTTCTTCTTTTTCTTTTTATTCTTCTTCTTCTTCTTCGTCTTCTTATTCCTCTTCTTCTTCTTCTTCTTCTTCTTCTTCTTCTTCTTCTTCTTCTTCTTCTTCTTCTTCTTCTTCTTCTTCTTCTTCTTCTTCTTCTTCTTCTTCTTCTTCTTCTTCTTCTTCTTCTTCTTCTTCTTCTTCTTCTTCTTCTTCTTCTTCTTCTTCTTCTTCTTCTTCTTCTTCTTCTTCTTCTTCTTCTTCTTCTTCTTCTTCTTCTTTCTTCTTCTTCTTCTTCTTCTTCTTCTTCTTCTTCTTCTTCTTCTTCTTCTTCTTCTTCCTTCTTCTTCTTCTTCTTCTTCTTCTTCTTCTTCTTCTTCTTCTTCTTCTTCTTCTTCTTCTTCTTCTTCTTCTTCTTCTTCTTCTTCTTCTTCTTCTTCTTCTTCTTCTTCTTCTTCTTCTTCATCTTCTTCTTCTTCTTCTTCTTCTTCTTCTTCTTCTTCTTCTTCTTCTTCTTCTTCTTCTTCT